GGAACAACATTTCCTTTATAACACAGAGTGTTTTTGACTTTTCGGCAAAATTTTTAACCGTCTACGATGACTTCACCCAAAAATTTTGAAGAGATGATATGATGGTAGTAAGGATCTGATGGGATGGGAGATGGGAACGAGAATACTCGTAACGACGCTGGGAGGGTGGAGTGTGAACAACATCTGAGTACCTGGCCGTCTTGAAAAACTTTCGTTATCTAGGAGAGGTGGGGGCTCTTTGGTTTTGAAGACACAGAAAACGTCATTGTTTTCGAATTACGCACGTTTTGACGTTTTGACTGAGTCTTTTGGCGGGCTTCCGTGGGTAATTGATTTTGATCCAGAGCAAAGGTTTGACGGACGCAGCCCCAAAATGTTTGTCCAAGAGGTGAGTCAGGAAGGCGTTACTATTGTGGTTAACCCGTGACTGATGGAAGCAATAGATAGAAGAGGAAGATCAGGCGGCGATGGAAAAAAAGTTCAGATTAACTTGACCCAAAAGTACGGGGAAAATGAGCGTTTTCCTAACCCAGTTGATTTTATCTGAACCGCACGGGAAGAGAAACTAGCAACTGTTTGATTTCCGCCAGAAAGGCGCCCTGTAAATGGGAGGTGAACTTTTGCTCTTCCCTTAAGGGGAAGTCGACTTCGACGTCAGGAGTGATAATTTGCAGGGCGCACCATCCCCCCGCCACCTGGGCGCACCTCCACATGTCCAGAGTAACCCCACTGCCCCCACATTTCTATAGTGTTGGCCACGTCTTTTGCTACTTCCTCCGTAGCAACATTCATATTATCCCCAAGCAATTTGTTTAAAATTTATGCAAAAATATGTGTAATGAGAAACACAATATATGTAAAGCCCCAAACATTATTACCCACACCGCCGCTTCACTAAGACATGGGAAGGTGACGCTTATCGTCTGCAGATCTGAGTTTTTACACTCTTATTCTTTTTGGTTCCCCACCTTTAAGGGGCAGGGGAATTTCTTTTTTTGAGCTCTAGCATTTCAAAAGATTGGGGGGGGTTTCCCTTTCTTTATTCCCATCCCTCTCAAGGAATAGGAAGTATATTTCCTCCAGCTTTACCCCCTCCCGGCGAAAGAAATTTTTTATCTTTTTCATTTTCAGCCTCACTGTTTTTTTTCCCAAAAGTAGGGGAAGTCCACCACATAAGCGGGGAACTCGAAAACAGATAAAAAAACTTTTAGAATGGGGTCGTGGACCAAAGCTTTTATCAAACGACCCATTTTGTTGACAAACTACGGGAAAAAAAATGATAAGATCAATAATTTTTACAAAAACTTTTTGCATCACTTCAAATTATTTCAAAAAAATTGCGAAAGAACAAATAGATTTTTAGTTTTGTTAAAAAAAATCAATCGTCAATCTTTTGTCACAACCAGTCTCTAACGTCAGGCGTCGTTTTTCACAGATAAAATAGTGAAACACGTCACACAGTAACAGTATACATGCCACTAACCTTAAAAAGATAATTTTTTTCGAGTTGCAAAACGAAAATTTAATACAGTCCTTTTTAACACTGCAGAATAACGCGTTGATCAAAAGAAGTGAAACGTTAATTTATTTTTACTGGAAATATATTGTAGTAATAGCCGAGGAAATAAGGGGGAAGTAAAACCCAACAAACACTTAAAAACCCCTTTTTCGGGGGCCCCCCCCTTAATCATTTCAAATTGAGAAACATTTTTGAAGGGAACGACGGACACACCCCTTAATTTTTTATCAAGTTGAGAAACTGAGGCGAGATACCGATTTACAGAGATACTGCTTTTGGCCAACTCTTTTATTTTTCAACCAATTTTTTTTATTTTTGGTGTACATTTAGAGGTTCAATTAGAAGAATTGACAAAGTTTCAGTATATTGGGCCCAAAAAACAACAAAAAAAAAAATTTTAGTGACTTTTTTAAAATGGCGCAAAGTAGACAAAAACACTTCGGTGGGGCCCTTTCCCACAGTCCCAACTGTTAGAATACATGTAAAAACTAAATTTTGGGGTGCACATTTTTCATCTAATATACTTATTATCATGGAAAAAAAAACATTTGATAAAATTTTTTCATTCACCAAAATACTGCCCTTTTTCCTCCCACAAAATCAAAAAATTTTTTATATTTCCCAAAAAAAGAATCTCCATTTTCAAAACAACTTTTTTTTATATTTTCAGTGAAAAAACATTTCAATACAATCATTAATA